GAGAAACAGACAAAAATAATTTAAAAGTTATCTTGCCTCACTTTGAAGAGAACCATGTATATTCTTTCTGATTTATTCTTCTTCCCTAACCATTGACTTGTTTTCTTTCTAAGAAATCAACAATTACAGGTAACCAATCTGAAATGAGACTGATTCTACTTTATCATGACATAAATCTCTTGCTTTATGTGTATCCTCTTGAAATCTTTTATCTATCTCCTGGTGAAATGCCATATCAAAACAAGTGGAACTGGTGTCATGGGTCACTTGGGGACCCAGTAGGGTGGAGTACTGGCTTCTTTATGACATGCATTCCCAACAGTGATTGTACCTTATCCAAGGGGTGGAAAATTGGTCATCAGAGGAAAATAAAATCTTACCTTTGTTTTATTTTCATTGTTTGAGAGTGTCACTATTAGCCATGGCTGACGTTGGATTTACAATTCTGCCTCCTGCCAAGTGCTAGTATTACGGGTATGCACCTCTGTACCCAGCTAAAATCTTACCTTTTTTATGTATAAAGCAAATATGCAGTGCTTGTCTAGTATTAAAATGGTATGGGGCTGGGGATTTAGCTCAGCAGTTCCACTGCCTGCCTCGCAAGTACAAGGTCCTGAGGTCAATCCCCTGTAAGAAATAAAACTAACCAAGCAAGCAAACAAACAAACAAAACGGTATGAAAGAATGCCTAAATATCTAAAACACCTCTTTAGGAGAACAGTAACAAAAGAAATGTCCAGAAATATTGCCGTGGGTGTTGACAAGGAAAGAGAACCAACATTTATGGGAAGGCGCAGTTCTGAGCAATTCACCTATTCTCTTATTTAATTCTCAGAACAGCCATTTGTAGATGAGGAAACTGATCTGAGATAACTTGACCAAAACCACATATCTTATAGAGAATACAGCTGAGGTTTGATGCCAGGTCTGTCTCCACAGCTTTGCTCTTCCCACTGTAACCAGGGTACAGAGTCAGAGTCCATTTACCTATGTCTCAGGCATTGTCATGATCCTCAAGAGCAGAAAAGTAAATAATTCACTAACAACATGCATGCTTGCGACTTTGTATTGTCTCTACCTAATCATGTACACATAGGACACCACCTCCTGCTGTATTTTATTCCTTAGCTCATAGTTGTTAAAAGGGAGCCATTTACCAGGGAAGAAAAATAGCAAGAGAAAGGAACCATGCTCTTTGTCTTCCCTATTTCCTCCCTCTACTTCCTTTCTCTGGGCTGGATCAGATGGACTGGATCATGCTGGACAACCAGCATGATTGTCCTTACTTCCAAATCTCACACATTCCAGGCTTTTAAAAAAGCAACATTCTTCCACTTCCTTGGAAAGAATGCCTTGCGGTTAAAGAGCTGTTTGATACACTTCTGGGCTGAGCACTAATTTAGAAGATAGAATCTGAACAATTACTCTGGTATTCTCTGCCTTACAAACAGAGCTAAGTAGCAACTCCGTGGGGGTTGTTCTAGGTCACCCGGGTGGAAGGAGCTGTATGAGACATCAACAGCTACTGCTTCGAGATGTTTGTGGTTTTTCTTGATTATAGATGCACTTGTGATGGAAACAGAGTAGGAACAGAGAGGAACTATGCAAAGTTTTCTCTCTCTCCCTCTTTTTTTTTTTTTTTTT